AGCAACGCTCAGGAGATAAGCGGAGGAAGCTGGCACAACCCTAAACATTCCAGAAGATAGAGAATAGCTGTGCCTGGGAACTAGTGGTCAGTCTGAGAAGATTTCTGTAAACAGGCACTGGCTAATAAACCTTGTTGATTGAACCTGCATGGTCTCCAGGAGTTCTTTGGGCTAGGCCTGACACCAGTTGTTCTATAGTGTAGTGGAGTCTGGGAAGAGACCTGAAGATCGCCCACACAAGTGCTACAAAGACGCTGTGAAAGAAACCCTACGCCACTGTGACATCCAGTCAAAAAGCTGTGGCTGCTGACAGAACCCACTGGCAAGCCCTGTGCTATGAAGTCTCCACTGGCTTTGAAGACAGGTGCTGCCAAAAGCTGATAGAAAACCATGAGCGATGTCACAGAATAGCACCCACAGTTACTACAACAATGAACTTCCAGCGCCCTCATTGTGCTAGGCTCTGCGCTTCCAGACTGGGACTGCAGAGCCACCTCTGTGTCCACAGATGAACTGCACAACAGCGTGTCTTCTTCAAAACTGGAGGGCTACTGTTATATGGCTCTGCCAAATGGCTTCAGATTTCCCTGCCAACCACACCCAACAATACAGGTAGTCCTCAACTTACGACCACAACTGGGACCAGAATTTCCATCGCTAAGCAATGCAGTCATAAAGCAAGATGCCATGTGACCACATCAGTTAGCAACAGCAATCCCGGCACTCCCCACTGCTGTCATCAAGTGAGTTCTACTGGTCATCAATCAAGGACCCACCCCAATCCAAGCCATACTGGGCTTGGTCCCTCCCTGTCTTGAGCCTCAGTAAGGTAAGGGATACCTTCAACTCCATCCACCTGCCTATCTTCCCCCCATCTCTGCCCTTTTGGCTGGCCTGCACCCTGCCTTTGCTCACTCACACGCACTGTGCCCTCCTTCCCTCCTTTGCTTGAGGAGTCTCCAGGGGCGCTTCTGCAACTCACGTTGAAAGCTGCTGGCCATTCATGAGACTTTCTCCTTCCTCCTGCAAAGCCTTCTTCCTGCAAAGCCCCAGAGTCACAGCGCAGCACAAAGGGGGTGCAATGTGAGAGAGTGAAGGGGGGAGGGCACTGGTGCGAGCGAAGGAGGGAGCAGTGCATGTGAGCGAGCGAAGGGGGAAGGAGGGCACAGTTTGTACAAGTGAGAGAATGGGGGAAGGAGGGTGTGCGCGTGTGTGTGAGCAAAGGAGGGTGCGTTGTGTGTAGTGAGCGAAGGGGGAAGAAGGATGCAGTTTGTGCAAGCAAGCAAAATGGGGAAGGAGGGTGTGGTGTCAGTGAAGAAAGGCCTGGGGGAGACTTACCAGAGCAACTTCTGACCTCCCCTGCTGGCTTCCCTGTTGACTTTGCTTGTGGGAAGCTGGCAGGGAAGGCTGCAAATAGCAATGACATGATCGTGGGGTACTTGGCAACTGGTCGTGAGCACAAACATTTTTGTGCCAAGCACCCAGATTGTGATCACATGACTGTGGAGGTGCTGCAATGGCCATAACTTTGGGGACCAGTCATAAGTCCATTTTTCCAGCACCGTCGTAACTTTGGACGGTTGCTGAACAAATGGTCATAACTCGAGGACTACCTGTATGGACTCTCCCATCATTTGCCTCTTTGAAAATGCTTTCAGTCATAGCATTTTGCCCTATCAACTCATTGAAGGATGTGAAGTGATTGGTGAAAGGGCAGATAAGAAACAGAAGCTCTACAATCCTCAGTAAGAGTTAAAAGTCAGGGAAAGTAACATAAATTTAAGACAGAGTTTCTCAAACTTTTGAAAAGAGTACACAGCTCTGTTGTAAAGCATCTGCTCTGAATGCAGACAGTCACAGATTCAATCATTAGTGAAACAGGAGCTCAGGTAGCAAGACAGAGGCCCTTTCCTTAGCATGAGATCCTGGGAAGCCACTGCCTGTCAAAATAGACAATACTGGACCAGACAAATAATCCATTTAGAATTAATCTTTGTTAACTATAGTATTCTGGGAGATTTTTGACTAAAGATTAGGAAAAAATGTCAATGAATGAATGGCCATTCATATTTGATGCTCAGAAGGTTAGACCAGGGAACCACACAAAGATGCAACAGGCAGCTTCCTCTCTGTTTATCAATCAGTGGTAACTGAATAACACAGCCTAGACAAAACAACCAGAGCAATGATTCAATGAAAATGTATAGAAAATTCTCCTATGTTAGAGAATGTTTGGGGCTCAAGGAACTCTTAATTTCTCAGGACATACCCTGGAAACTACTGACTTAAGAAAGTGGAACTGAAAATTCTGAGTACAATTCAATGTCACGTTTCAAGTAGTATGTAAATCAAAGGCTACCAGATCTGGACTACAAACATCTGAATGCCTGCTAGATGATTAGGATTTTCTGTATCTCTTTGCTCAGGATAGCTTTGCTCAGATTGGATAGCTCTATGTAAGGCTCAGCTCATGGCCTTTAGAACCTTTGGTTATGCACAGATGAAACAGAACAAGTTTCAAGTTCTTATTTAACCATCAAATTCTCTGGGTGACTTTACACAGTCACTGTGCTTCAGGGAATACTTTCTTGCCATGTTAACTGCAAGGTTATAAAAAAAATAACTCCATGGGTGTTGATTTGAGCTCCTTAGAAAAAAGGTACAAATGTAGTACATATTTTGATTTCACAGAGCACAAAGAAGAGGTACTATCACTCTTTCTCTAAGAGTGCTGCTGAACAGAAACAGCTTGTAAGAATAGCCTTTTCCAAGGCATTACCCTCACATTACCCCAGTATGGGCCAATTTGGAATAGGTACTGATCTCTAGTTCTTCAAAAATCAGAGCGAAATTCTTAGCAACTTCTGTTATAGTGGTAATAGCTACTGCTGGACATACTGCTTTGTTTTCAAATTTTGAAACAAACAAAAACACTCAAATTTCCCATGTACCTGCAATTTGACATGGAATATGAGATGCTGAGAGAACTCTTTGTTCAGTATGCAACAGATCTTTTAGCATATAATTCTTCACGCTAAATATTTGATGGAGCATGTGGATACTATGGAATTGCATATCTGGTTCTCCAGATCAGGCTATACAGTACTTGTATTTGCCAAGAAAACTGCAGCTCTTATAAAGTGTTCCA